CAGCCTGCCTATTGAACTATCTGCTGCAGCTTAACTGCAGCAAGAAAACGGTAATCCTATTGTGCTCCTACAGCAGTCTCCTGGGAAGCAGAAGGCATTGAAATTACTGAGCTGTTGTCCTATCCCCTCCTCACCTGTCTTTGTAGCTGTAAATATAGTGTCTGCCTGTAAATAACAGTTTGCTGCATCTTTAAGCACATTCCCTAACAAGAGGCAGTGATTTACTGAGGTGATAAGCTGTAACTAATACTAGGGTATCATAATAGGTAAATAGATTAACACCATGCTTCTCTGTATTTTGCTTTCTAGGGAGCCCACTGGCTCATTCGCTCCTAGATGCTTACTGCAGCACTTTGCGATGCGCTGAGTTAAATCAGTCAGCTACAGGATTGTAGCTATTGACGGTGGTGTGTATACAGCTAATGAAATGCATTAGGGAATCTATCGGGTAGCATTGATTGCTTAGCCTGTTTGCCTTTCCTTTTCTGTTCCCCTACCCAAAAAGGATTCTAATGGACTATACCCAATATTCAATGCCAGGGCTATAAACTACTCTCCACGACACGCCATCATCATTCATCATGTAATTGTTGCTTTGTGAATGCAAGTACACTGGCAGCCTTTGTCACTGAGAAGTAAGGAAACGTGCAGGCAGCCTGGGTGGGAGGCATGGTTTCCCTCCCCTCCAAAGCCTGGCCGATGGGAGCACCTTGTCAAGTGTGTGCTGGAGAGGTCTGCTTTGTCTCCAAGTGACAGGTCTTCGGCTCCAAAGGGCCCTAGCAAAAGATGAGCAATGTTGGGCGGTGTTGCCAGCCCGAATAACGGTGCTGCGCATCTTGTGATATTTGGCACATTCCTAAGCACCTGGCTCCTGGAGGCAGGGGATTAAATAACGATTGCTTCCTTTCTCTTTGAAGAAAAGCTTAGCTCTGCGGTTGCAAAGAAATGGTTGAAATGTCATTCAAGTAGAAGGGAAAAAGATCTTCTGCCTTCCACCATTTTCCATCCCTGGGCTCTCAGTGCACACATCGCAGTGTTACTCTGTGATTTTTCAGTGAAAGCACTAAGAAATACCGAAGGCACCCAGAAGGCCAAAGCGTGGCCAGCTGTGGTATGTGGGGTATTGTCAGTGTGGTGGGGAGAGCTCAGCCTACACTGCATGGAGGCACTAGCACCTCCCTTCTCTGGAGACAGGCAAAACAACAAGCTGACTGTGGGGAGCTGAACGCCTAGAAACGGTTTCTTAAATTCTTTTTCTTGCTTCCTTTAGAAACCTCGTTGGCAAGTTGAGATTGGAATCTCTCTCATTTTTAAATCTCTGTTTTTCTCCGTTTCACAAGTGCAAAACCAGAGGCTGCTTATTTCTGTGTTGGGTCCCTAACACAGTCGTTCCTAGCAAATCGGTATTGATTTATTCCTATGAAAATGCATCAACGTTTGAAGTAAAATGCAATCCCATTAAGAATGATACAGGTTTTCCAAATGGAGAAAAGTAGGTCAAATATTGCACCAATCAGCTCAGAGCATGTCCCTTTAAGCAAAATAAATGTGTGAATACACTTAAACTGTCAGCACGTCATTTGATTGCCATTATTATGCATCTTTTGGCATGAGCTGGCAAAGCCCTCTGCGTCTGCACGTTGGCTGAAAATGTCAGTTCTGGGGAATTAACCAGGCTATGCTCTGCATTTGTTTGTGTGCAGGGGAGCGAGGGGGTGCACGCTTAAAGGATTTTTGTTTCCTCCTTGCAACAGTTGACTTCAACTTAGGCAGGAGAGCTGGGTTATTATATGCAAGGGACATTGTAGCAGTGCAGCACAGGAACACGATTTAAATCTGATCATTAAAGTGCCGCAGTGAGAGGCTGTGAGAGACGGTGTGGATGGTCCATCTGCAAAATCTGTGCTCCTGTTGCAAGAAGGAGGGGCAGAGGGGGGAGAAAAAGCAGCTGCTTGGCTGTGCTGTGAGAGGGAGAGACTGACTGTTGGCACCATCTGTAGCTGTCCTTTGTGCTTGCTGCTTTATCTGTTCATTATAGTACGATACTGAATTTCTCGTGCTTTGAGTGTAAATGAGTTGAGATGTGCCCAATACTGTCAGCATAAAAAGCAGTAACTAAGTACACTAAAGATGAATAGTGTAATCTGTAAATTCATTTTGAGTTTGTTTCATCTGACTTGAATAGCAGAGGAAGTAATGTTCTCCAGAAGGCAGCTGTACCAGATGTGAGGTGCACACTCCCCCTACACACCAAGCACGCAGCAGCTCATGGCAGTGTGGGGAGGGCAGCAGGCTCCTGTCTGGCTGGGGCAGCGTGATGCTGGTGGACTGGGAGCTCTGGGCAGGGTCTGCTTTCTTTGCTGCACAAACACCAATGTCAGGAGGAGAGCGATTATCCTACGTGGTACATGAGTCGAGATGTCCCCAGGGAGAAAGGTTAAACCTCTCAGTAATGAGTGCTGTGATAGGGATGAGTAAATGTGTTACGTTCTATACCCGCAGTATCCTGGTTTCTGAAAACAGGAGTCTTCTCCAGATAACTTGTAGAATGTAACTGTCTGGCTTATCTTGAGGGCTTCTTTGTTCTTTGACAGTTCACATTTCACCTTTATAAATGTGTGTGTTAGATATTAGTAATATTAATAACTCATTAAGATCTTCCCTTATCTCCACCTCACCAAAGCAATGCTATCTCACTGGCATATTCCTTTTCCAAGGGTTACTCTGCTTTTTTCCAAAGCAGGTATGGCTTTTGTTTGCAGATTCATGTCCTCAGCCCCATTAGGTTGCTTCTTTTTATCTTGTTTGTCAAGTGCCTACGTGTACGGAAGGAGCAATGCTCTGTTTGCATCAAAGCCGTGTGTAAGATGGGCGATTTCCATTTGACGCTGCAGTAATTGCACTCGGCGTGGTGATGCTCAGGGGATGCTCATCCCCTGTTGCTCCGACATGGCTGCACTGCTGTGCAGCAGCATGGTGCTTGCCTGCAATGCTCCAGTGGCCGTGGTGTGGGTAGCAGCTGTGCCACGCTGTGACCGTGTCGCTGGGCAGCTGGAAAAGGGGAGCGTGTTAGTAGTGGTAGGGCAGGGATGAAAGGTGAGTGTAATGTGATCAGATGCTTGTTGACAGATTCCTTGGCTAGTAGAGAAGCAGCTTAGGCTGACACTCATTGCTGGAGCATTTCACACCACTCGGGGGAACACTCTGGAGGCTGCATGCTAGGCTAACCATTTTGGAGTGCCTGTATTTGGTTACATAAAGGAGCGGTGTCCCCTTCCTGTCAAAGCAGAGCTCTAAAATGCCTCCCTGAACACCACTGCTGACCTTCCATTTGATAAATGCAAGGAATTTATTGCATCGCCTTTGTCCAAATGTGTGATTAATTCACAGGAATAGTCTGGCTTAAAATACTTTTCCTGTATGGCCATTAAGCTTGAGAAATTCCAATTGTTTTGCCAACTGAAAAATCATATTTGTGGGCGTTCTTGGCAAAACAAGTTCTTTTTTTCCCCTGCAAATATGACTTCACAATTAGTCCCTTTGGAATTTGCTCTATTAAATGTTGGTTAACAGGACCTCTGCAACAGAAAGGTGGCTGCTGCTTGGGGTTCTGTTACTGGGCTAGGGGATATCCATTAGAAAACGATAAGAATTGAAACTAAAAGCCTCAATTTTGGAGAATTCTGCTCTTGCTCTTTTAAAGTGGTAAGCCTGAAGTTACATGTAGAGCTCTCCTGCTTAAAGCTGCTATGGCAGTTTGCTTTTTAAGCAGCCTCCTGGTTCTCACCTGCCTGCACAATCTGTTGATTTGTTCCATTCATACCACCTTAGGAAAGCACTTAGTTTAAAAAAATATACAAGCACAAAGCATGTTATTGTGATGAGGTTTATGCAAAGCACACTTTAAAGGATGAAAATCCTCAAGCGCTTCCACGTGGAAATGCTTCTTCAGCTGCAGAACAGAGTTCAGTTCATGTGCATCTCATTGGTGGAGCCCTTTGCCATGCTGTACCCTGGGAATGTCTTGCCCAACGGAGCCACTCCTGCTGCTGGCACTGTGGCAGCTCTGTGGTTCAGCCATGCCACTGGTGGTTGTTTGCAAAGCCGTGTCTCGTCACAGCCAGATCCAACTCACAGTCACTTTCTCAAGCTCTGGTTACTCCAGATTACATCGGTTTTGTAAGAGGGGCTGGTCTTCTCTGTCTGTGGGTGCTTAAGGAAAAGGCCACATTTTCAGAGATAATGAACCCTTTCATGTCTTCTGAGGGAGTTGCAAGCTTTTAGTCTCTCTAGGAAATATCTGCCTGTCATCATTCATAAGCATGATGTTCCTGTAAGCACTGAAGCACCGTCATTGCCCAGAAGATTAGTCACATAATGGAGATAAGCACTTAGGGGTTATGCTGGTTCAAATGCAGATGGAAGTACCTAACTTCTGTATACCTTACCCGCATTAGTGCGGCTCTATTCTCATGTTTATCTACTCAGGACTGGTAGCTAATGGCAGTTTTGGAAATTCCAGCACATGGGTTCCTCTTCATGCCTCTCCAATTAAGCTTTAGCACAAAAATAGCCAAACAGAAAAGAGATCTTGTTATCCACTGCTCCCCTCTGTGAATGATGTCTTCTGCATGTTTTTGTTACGTTTCTATTAGTGTGAAACGAATTCTTCAGTGCCTTTTTTCACCCACAACAGCTACCCCGTGTCCTTGCGCCTCATCCACTTATCTCTTTGTTGCTCAGCTCAGACAAATTCTCTCGTGCCTCCTGGGCTGTGCAGACTGTTTGCAACTTGTGTAAAAACATTATAATGATAGCGTAGTGCAATTACAGACTCAATTTGATAGGATAACAATGTGAGTGGTGGTTCGTGGACGAACTTTTCACTCCTGGGGCTTGTCTGTTCAGTTTGTGGCTCTTGTTATAGCAGCTTGCATCTGCACTCAGCTGTACCGGTTATTCTGATGTGCACTTACTGTCATTTTGTTCTGATTGCACAGCACTGCTCTCGTCGTGGTGTGAGGAGCTGGGACGGCTTTTGCTGCTTCGCCACCAGAAAAGCCGGCAGAACGATCCTCCAGGGAAGCTCCCAATGCAACCCCCCATGAACTCTATGAGCTCCATGAAACCCACCCTCTCTCATAGGTGAGTCTCAGCCCAGCCTGTAGGAGTGCAGTTGTGTAAGATAATCTGTTTTTTAACTGAGATGCTTATTACCGTTGACAGACGTGGCTACAGCTTTGTGCTGTGAACAGCATTAGAGACATCAGGGGATGTATAATGACAGCATGCACTAAATAAATGCAGTTTTTGTTTTTGCCATTACCCAGTGCATAGAGAAATAATGCTTCCATCTTGAAATCTGTGCTCAGGTCACGTGGGCTCACTTTGAAACTTGAAGTTGTGCCCAAAGGATAAACTTCCACAACATATCTCTCACCAAGCACTTTCCTACTCTTTATTTAAATAAAGTTGGTTTTCTTGAGGTTGAAAACATTTCATCGATGTTCCATTTTGTACACTGCATTAGAAATGTCATGCTAAATTGAAGCAATTGTGTAGTGGGAGCATCCAGAGGTATGAGAATGTCTTGTACCACCTTAAATCAGGTGAAGATCACAAAGTAGTTGATATAGAGAAAATGTGAGCACTAAATGAAGCTAGAAGAGACTGAAGATATGAGCCTTTGATTACCAATTTGTACAGAAAAACAGGATTTGTACTTCTTGCCTGTGGAGCCTGAGTCAAGGCAAAAGCTGAACAGTAAATGTACACAGGGTTAAACACTGATGTCATGCTTTATGTTTCTGTGAGGCTTTTTTCAAGGCTTATTTTCCCATAGCGTCACATTAAAGAAATCACACTAGTATAAATTGTTTTTTTGTGCAGGGCACTATTGTTAGTAAGGAATTATAACAGTGTAGATGAAGCTAGATTCTTCATACCCATATACTGCAGAAGCATAACGTGTCTTGAACTTTCATGGTAGAATAGAACGTAGGGGTTTGATTCATCTTTATAGCAGTGTATTCGCATAACAGAATTTGTTTGGAAACCACTTTTTTCTGCTCCTGTATGTTGTACTTATGGAAGAACTGTGGGACCTCTATGCCTTTTATTATAGTTCTTGAGAATAGTGTTCATTTTAAACATAATACAATATCACTGAGTTTTTGGAGCATCTGGACTGCCTCTTTTTTCAGTTGATTGCATAATAATGAATTGTAAACATAGAATCATAGAATGGCTTGGGTTGTAAGGGACCTTAAAGCCCATCTAATTCCAGCCTCTGGCTGTGGGCAGAATTGCCACCCACCAGACCAGGTGCCCAAGGTGCCATCCAACCTGACCTTGAACGTCTCCAAGGATGAGGCACCCACAGCTTCTCTGGGCAGCTGTGCCAGCACTTCATCATCCTCTGGGTGAAAATTTTTTCCCTATTATCTAATCTAAATTTCTCCTCTTTTAGTTTAGCAGTTTAGTAGTTTTCCCACTTGGCCTATCACCATCTGCCTATGTTAAAAGTTGGTCTCTCTCTTGTTAATAAGCTTCCCTTAGGTAAAAGCCATGGTGAGATCTCCCTGGAGCTTTCTCTTATCCAAGCTGAACAAGTCCAGCTCCCTTAGCCTTTCTTCATAAGAGAAGTGCTCCAGCCCTCAGAGCATCTCCATGCCCGTCCCCTTAACCTGCTCCAAGAGGTCCACATCTTCCTTGTGCTAGAGGCCCCAGGCCTGGATGCAGTAATTTAAAAAAAAAAAAAAAAAAAAAAAAAAAGAAAGAAAGAAAGAAAAAAACCAACCAAACTATAATGAATAAAACAAAAAACCTAGGAAAATTTCTGTATTGAAACAACTTAGTTTTTGCACCTTGCAAAAAGCTTTGCAGAATTCAACATGAAATTTAGTAGTCATTCTGCACAGAAACATGTGATGCAGTGTGTAAAGCGTATGCACATTCTTACACGTAGTTTTGTAGTTTTCAGATTCCTGATTCTCATCTGATGATTTAGCCTGAGTTGCCCTAAAGTCTATAAAGCAAAGATGAAACCTCTGTCGTACCTCACAGAGGCTGTATAATATATAACTAGATAAGATAGACACAATTATTTTTTCCTTCATGACAGTTCTACCCCAGTACTCTGTCACTTGAAATATTCTCTCCTGCTAAAACTTAAAGTGACATTTCTGGCAAGACCAACTTACCCAGTATTCTACCCGATAGTAGGACATCCTGTCCACTATCAAGCAATCCCTGTAAGTTTCTCCTGAGTAATGCCCTTGAAATGTTTTACTAAAGAAGACGCTGTGAGTCAGTTTTAAATTACTGCTGTTTACCTATGAGATATCCCTCTAGAAACATCAATTCTGTGGCATAAGTTCTTATCTACAGTAACTGCTGCAGCATCTTAAGGATTTGAAATACCAGCCAGCCATGGAGCATCACTGCTTCATTGTGTACTGTTCTCTCATCTATAGTTTAGCCATAACATGACTGTGCAAAATATCTCAGGTGGTACATTACAACAAGACATCTTGTCACTTTCCAACTTCGTTTTCCAGCTGAAAATGTTTATTTTCCATGTATGATGGGTCTGCGTGACAGTAATAAAGCATGGAGGAGGGAAGAAGTGGGTTTTCTCTTTGTTAAATAGAAGATGAAAAGCAGTTAAACATAATCCTAGCGATAAAGCTGTTGATGAGGCAAAATTTGTATTTGTGTTAGATTACATTTGGCTACGGAGCTTAGTATTAGAGTTAAATGCAATCTCTAATTCAACAGGTTTTTGTGTGAATCAAACAAATTAAAAAACAACATCACAAAAAGAAAACCAACAACTAAGCCTGTTTTGCATTCTCTACAAGTAATTAACGTAGTCAGCTACTTTAATTTGTGAAGAACTAGATATGAAATTAGAATAGCCAAGAGTGTATTCAGAAACCTTGCATATCTTAACAAAGTAATATAGGATGGATGACGACTGCTTAACATCACCAGACAAAAAAAGAAATTTCCCCTGTCATCAGACTACCGTTGAGTAGCCAGCACAAGGTTTTCTTTGTCATTGCTTTAATGAGTGACATAATTACTCAAAACTGTTCAGACTCTCAATTCCCATTGCACATGATGCTACAGAATTACAGCTGTATAGTCTCTAAGTTGTAACAGGCCTCAGCTATTTTAAATAAATTCTGACTGAAGAACACATCAAATGAGGGTTTGTATTTAAGTAACTGTGAGCACATATGTTGGAAAGAATTCAGGTCTAGCCTATTGTTGGGGGTAGCTTCTTATTTTGAGAAAGCAAATTGAGTTGTGAGAGAAAACTGAGGTAGATCAAGGACTGTGGTGGCAATATTATTGAGCAGAACATTAGCCATGTAAAGATTTGCACACGTGCAAAAAATGCTTTCAGGGTAGAGATTGCCTTGTGCTGATTTATTTATAAAGTAAGGGGATCAAGTGGTAAATAACTATGCAAGTTGTGTATAGAACAAAAATTCAATGATATACCTGCTTTGTAAAGTGGGATGGTTGGTTTGGCTGCAAAATTGTGCGCTTTAGGGACAGAGTGAGCACTGGGTTCTCCAAAAAAAAAAAAAAAAAAAAAAACCCTCATTTTTTGTTGTTTTTTTTTATGTCTGTGCAGTGTGATAATACTAAGCTCAGAACTGAAGTTGAGATACATAGATTTTCTTTTTAGATTTTTTTTTTTTTTTTTTACTGATCTACATGGGTAAATTTGACTCAGGTACCGAAGGACCAGTATGAGACCTATCCGCCTCCTTAATCCTGTGTAATTTCTAAATTAAGCCCTACTTAAAGGATTTATGGGGGACTTAAGGAGAGTCTTTGGGCTGGCCTTTTGCAGAGGAGTGAAATTTCATGCTTAGTGTAACTTCTTTGTGTTGTAGTTTCCAGTCTGACATAATGTCTATAACAACAGACAAATACTTCTCAAAGAGACTGATTTATGCCTTTAGAGATGCTTTAAGATCTTTGGCAAATGCTACAATGTAAGTACAAATTACCATCATAATAACACCTTGCTTTGCTTTGAAGAAGTCGCTACTTAACACTTTGCTGCATTATGTGGTAAATCTCAATAATCGTGGATCAAATTGAATCTTGGTGACAGTGGGCACCATTTTCATCCCCCTCAGTGAGATTTGCACCTGATCAGAACCACCAGTCTGAGGTGGTTCTGAGCCACACAGGCACATGGGGATTGTTTGTTTCTTGGCTAGCTTGTGGTAAAGCTCCTGTTGTCAATGAACACCTGAGGATATGCAGCTAGAATGTGGTCCTGAGTGTTCTTCAGGTTCCTGATGTCTTCTCTCTAGTTTCAAGTGTTGGTTTTCTGTATTCATTGGCAGCTGTCCTGCAGTTGGTGAGCAAATTACAGTGATGTCTGCATAGAGCAGTCAAGGTTGATGAGAATTATGAAGATAGAGTTATTTTTAACAGAAATGACTTAATGCCAAAGGTTTTGATAAAACTAAACAGTGGGTCGAATTTACTAGTAATTCAATATTACAATACATGTTTATTATCATTATTGTTCTATGTTCAGGCAATTCCCACAAATACATTTTATTGGTTGGAATTGCTTTACAGGGGTGCTTTATTTTAGTTAGTTTTGTCCCTTTATTTTTCACCTAAAGCTTAACTAACATCTGAACTTACATTGCTAGGAGCTTTTGGAAGAGATTGATGATCCTGTGTCTGAACTTCTACTGGGTGATTAGGACCATCCCTTACATGGTTTGTTATGGATGAGGAGCAAGCTGGTACCAGCATTGTCAACGTTTTCTGCAGAGGTTGCTGCCTTTTCAATTTGGCCTTCGCAGGCTGTTTTGGCTGATTGTAGTAGTTGCTTGTAGGATGTCCAGATGAGGGAAATCCAGTGAAAAGTCAGGTGCTGGGTATACAATGCACCTGTTATGAAAACAAGTGTGTTGTGCTGCTTCCATACATCAGGGCAGAGCTGAGGATCATAGAATCATTAGAGTTGAAAAAGAGCACTAAGATCTAGTCCAGCTGTCAACTCCTGCCCCCCTGCCCACATCCCTCAGTGCCACCTCACCGCAGTTCTTCTCCACTATGGACAATGACTCTACCACCCCCTGCTGAGCTTCTGCCAGTGC